GGCCAGGACTTGGTCCATGGGACCTTGGAATGGACCAGGACTTGTCCTTGGGTCCATCTGGGACAGGACCAGAATCCTCGCATGGACCAGGACTTGGCCCTTGAGTCCATGGTGGAACAGGACCGGAGTCCTCAGATGAACCAGGACAAGGGACCCTGGGGTAGGCCAGGACATGTCCTTGAGTCCAGGGTGAACAGGAAATGGGACCTTGGGACGGACCAGGACATGGGACCTTGGGTCTATGTGGGACAGGAGCCAGATCCTCACATGGACCAGGACAAGGGACCTTGGCATGGACCAGGACATGTCCTTGGGTCCAGGGTGGACAGGAAATGGGACCTTGGATGGACCAGGACATGGGACCTTGGAGGGACCAGGACATGGGACCTTGGGTTCATGTGGGACAGGAGCCAGATCCTCACATGGACCAGGACAAGGGACCTTGGCATGGACCAGGACATGGGACCTTGGGTCCATGTGGGACAGGAAATGGGACCTCGGGTCCACGACACCTTGACCCTTGACCGCCTCCCCCACCTGGGCTTCTCCCCGGCGCCCATCTGGTGCAGCACGCCGTCCATCCACGCCAGCAGATCCCTGACGGCGCCCACGAAGCGAATCTTGTCGGCCACGCTGGCCACGTGCAGCCGGCACTCCTCGCACGCCGCCAGCAGCTCCTTCCACGCCCTCAGCACCTCCTGCTCGCGCCCGGCGATGGCCTCGGCGTTGTCGCCGGCGTAGAGCGTCCGCAGCTGCGCCGCGCCCTCCTGCAGCTGCCGCACCTGCGTCACCAGCACCTCCACGTCGTGCTCGAAGGCTCCCAAGGCCCTCTGCAAGGCGCCCGCCGACGTCCTGCCCTCCCTGGCCGCCAGCTCGGGAAGGCGCTGCCGCTTCTCCTCGATCTGGCCCAGCACCTCCTTGCAGTCGTTGAAGAACTTGTGCAGCTCGTGCGACGCCGCCAGCATCTGGGCGCGCGTCTCCATCAGCTCCAGGAGGTCGGCCCAGGCTTCGTTGACGCCGTCCTTCCACTCGGCGATGGTGGCGGCGTCGGTGTGGCCGTAGTCGATGAGCTCGTCCACCATCTGGTTGACGGCGGCGATGCGCTCCTGGCCCACGCTGCCCGTCTCGCTGGCGAACTCCAGGAACTTCTCCTGCAGCAGCTGCGGTGGCCCCGGGG